CCAAATATCATCTTATGTTTATGGCTTACACGTTTAGTGCATTGTTGCTTTCCTGCTACATGGCTACCTTTCATCTTGTGTGCCCTCAGATAACTCTGGGTTCACCTCACCCTTCTTAGATGTACACTGCTGGATATTTCTGCTTGTGGATCTATTGGACTGTATATCTAAAAATACACAGCAGAGTTGCCGGAAAGTCACGTTATAGAAACCTTTTTGTTTTTTTTACATTGTCTATCCACGAGCTGAACGTTTTCTCTATTAACCAGAACCTGCGGAAGCCTCCTCTGGCACCAGTGTACCCCATGCTAGCAGTGATGACAGCCGTGCCAGGCCTGCCACCTCTGACCAACAGGGGGAGAGTCAGCCGTCTGCCTCAAATCCAGAGGATACAGGTAAGTGTAGTTATTCTGCAGGGCAAGGTCCGGGATTTCCCCTCTCTGCTTCCTGATGGTTTCTTTCTTGTTTTTAGTTATGTAATAATACAAAAACTGAATTAGTGAAATGGAGCAGCTTATCTATTTAACCCAGGAGAGGTTAGCCAAATATACCTTGGCCTGGGCCTGCTGGGTACACTACAATTCTACTCCCGAATATAAAAGCATTCTGTCTCTTTCTGTATGAATGGTGACTAGAAGAGCCTTCTAATCTAAGGCTCACCAGCCTGGCCCCTCTTCTCCTTCCTCCCTCCCTCACAATGCATTGGCTGCCTATAGGGCAGTGACCCGCGGCAAAGGTTTCTGGTGGGAGCTGGGATGCCTGCTGGTAGCTAATTGTTGGTCCTTCTTGAGACTTGGCTTAAAGTGACATTAATCCCTCAGATTTTTTAACATAAACCAATACTGTAATGTGCGCCTTACTGTAATCCATGGTAGTTTCCCTTCTCTTTGCTGCTCTTCCTTTTAAATCCGTCCCTCTTCTCATGCTGGGCAGAACTTCTGTTTTGCAGCAGACTGCCTTGTCTCTGGAATGGATACACGGTGTCTGTGTGCAGGTTCACAACCTGAGCCAGCACTACAGGAAGAGGCACTCAGCTGCAAAGGGAAGTTCTCCCCCAGCATGAGAAGACATGAGGATTTAAAAGGAAGAGCAGCAAAGAGAAGGGAAACTACCATGGATTACAGTAAGGCGCACATTACAGTATTGGTTTATGTTAAATAATCTGAGGGTTTAATGTCACTTTAAGCTCCAGACCAGATTGTTTCCGGACCCAAAATGCATCCTAATGTATCCCTATGCTATTTCTGGCCTCTGTTGAGCGCAGTGCGTTCCAGACCAGACCAGACCAGAAAAATACTGCATGTCTCATTTTGTCTGGTCTATACCACACTGGAACTGCGGGCTGCTTCACACCATTTTCTGGATCAGATCTGGTCCGGAAAATGTTGTGAACCTGACCTAAGTCAGCAGTACTCGGCCAAAATTCAACAAGTGTATGGTCAGCGTTACCTCTCATTCCGTCCCTTGCTTTCCTTCCAACTCTCCTTCTCCCAGTTTCAGTCTCTGCCTTCCTCTTTCACTGTGTTATGCCCCCCGAGTCCTCATTACCTTAATTTTTCTATTTTGGTTTTGAGACCACCCATGTCCTAATTATTCATTGGCACTGTAAACCCTCTGCTATCAGTACTAAGGGCTCTACCTCCTTCCTTCCTGGGACCCCCACGTGTGGCATCTAGGTTTTCAGTCTCTGCCTTCCTCTTTCACTGTGTTATGCCCCCCGAGTCCTCATTACCTTAATTTTTCTATTTTGGTTTTGAGACCACCCATGTCCTAATTATTCATTGGCACTGTAAACCCTCTGCTATCAGTACTAAGGGCTCTACCTCCTTCCTTCCTGGGACCCCCACGTGTGGCATCTAGGGCTGCTTGCTTAAAGGAGAACTATGGGGTCAGTGTTTTTCCCCATAGTTCTCCTTGGGGTAACGGGAGGACACAAACTAGTGTCCTCCCGTCACCCTAGGCTCAGTATATAGGGAGCTACAGCTCGCGGTATACTGAGACACCGCACCTGGAGCGGATCCCGACTTAGATGATGGGAT